GAGTGTGTGTGTGTGTGTGTGAGTGTGTGTGTGTGTGAGTGTGTGTGTGTCTGCTTGTTTTCGTTAACTCTAAGCGTATACTTTGTGGCGGTGCGTATTAAAAGAATCCTGAGTGTTCCGTGTCATTTGTGGTCCCTAAAAATGCAAATCAGCATGCTGCTGCCCTGCGCTTTGCTTTATTTAGTGCATGTGAGTGCAGTCAAGCCCACAAAATCAGCTCACAAGTACACAAGCATGAAATACTGTGCAGATGATGTGTTACCATGTGACCAGGCCCTCAGAAATACAGTTTCTGTTCAGTGGCTTTGTCTAACATCTGTCAGCAGAACCGTGGCGGAGCTCTAAACCAATTTCACTATTTCAAATAACAGTTTTCTATGTGAATATCTGTTAAACTGTAATGTATTTCTGTGATGCGCAGCTGTATTTTCAGCATCATTACTCCAGTCTTCAGTGTCACATGATCTTCAGAAATCATTCTAATATGCTGATTTGCTGCTCAAGAAAAAAATATTATTATTATTAATATTTAAAACAGTTGAGTAAATTTATTTCAGGATTCTGTGATGAATAGAAAGATCCAAAGATCAGCATTTATCTGAAATCAAAAGCTTTTGTAACATTATACTCTGTACCATTCAAAAACTTGGGAGTCAGTAAATATATATATTTAAATTGATCAAAAGTGATTATAAAGATTATAAAGAAAGTTCATTCGTTTATAGTGTCACAAAAGATTTCTATTTCAGATAAATGCTGTTCTTCTGAACTTTCTACTCATCAAAATAACCTGAAAAAAATCTACTCGACTGTTTTCAACATAATAATCAGAAATGTTTGTTGAGCAGCACAGCAGCATATTATACTGATTTCTGAAGATCATGTGACACTGAAGACTGGAGTAATGATGCTGAAAATACAGCTGCTCATCACAGAAATACATTACAGTTTAACAGATATTCACATAGAAAACTGTTATATTGAATAGTAAAAATATTTCACAATTTTACTGTTTTTGCTCTACTTTGGATCAAATAAATGCAGGCTTGGTGATCAGAAGAGACTTCTTTAAAAAAACATTAAAGATCTTACTGTTCAATAACGTTTGAGTGGTCGTGTATATCAGAGCACAGAGAAAGCTCATCAAGACTTCTGTTACTCCTGTGAGCCAGGCCTTTACCATCAGTGCTGGTGAGGGCGAAGCTCTCGGCCCCAGCCTGCTTCTTCCCGCTCACGCTCTTGGGGAGCCAGTGCAGGTCGAGGGGGTAGATCTGGTCCTGGAGCTTGACGAGGACGCTGGTGTCGTTAGTGAGCAGGTTCCACCGGAGAATGTGGTGGTCGTCGCTGCAGGAGTACAGCTCATCAGCGCTGGTCCATCCCACGCAGCTCACCAGCTCTCTGTGTGCTCAGGGGTCAAGGGTCAACAAACAAACATCTCCTCTCTCAACAGTGCAGCCAACTCATTCTCAGCCGAAGTCCCTGAACGAAGGTCCATTTGTTGCTAAATGACGTTGTGATGTCACGATGCAATATTGTGTCACTACTAGGGGTGTGCGATATTGACAAAAAATTATATCTCGATATTTTATGGGATTTTATCGATAACGATAATTAGACGATATTTTGCTGAGTGTGTTATTGTGCATACGTACACATTTTTGAACGATTACAATTTAAGTCGTTTTTTTTTTATTAGCTAGTAAACAAGTAAAACTACACATTCTCAACAATTATGCTTTAAGCAGTGTATTAGTAGTTAGTTAGTATGCTTCACTCTAAGAAGAGTCTGTAAACATAGGGCACAATCTGTTAATATGGAGTAATATTTCCACAGGTTTCTTACCTGCGTTTTTAATTATGCATTGTATTTTGTGCTGTCGGGTTACAGGGTTACAACAGATAATGTCCTGGAAAATTACTAGCACCTTTTCCATTTTTCTAGATATGTTTCTTACAGTGTATTAACAATCGCAGGTACAATTGTATCATAAATGAACAATTACTCAATTATTATTATTATTGAACAATTGCAAACAGCAGCTAACTTAATTCACGTGATGTGTGTAGTGCTAGGCATCTGTGGTTTCCTCTCTTTGTGTAATTTGGATGGAAAATGTGTGCCTTTTTATCGTTTGAGTCTCTTATCAAAAGTTGCTAAAAGTTGCCAAATAAATTGTAAAAATAGCTACATTTGTTGCTAGGTGCTTTTGGAAGAAAACGTTACTAGGGTACTCTGAAAAGTTGCTAAATGTAGCAACAAAATTACTAAGTTGGCAACACTGTTTCTGAAAGTTCAAAATGTTTCTCCTTTGTTATGCAATGTTAATGGAACATTTCATTTGATCATTTTGCAAACATTACGAGAATGTTACATTTGTATGTTCTGTGAACGTTCTAGTAACATTTAAGATAATAATAGATCATTTAAGTAACATTTGTAGATGATCGTCCAACTAAAACATTTCAGTAAAAAACAAAAACACATTCTATGAATGATGTATAAATAATGTGTTTGTGCTAATGTTTTGAGAACATCACTAAAGACCAGTGCTGCATCCCAATCCACATACTATCCATACTAAATAGTGCTTGAAATTATACTGATTCAAATAGAATTACAAAAAGTGTCAAAAACTACAAGCATGGCGGATATGTGAGAGTGACATAAAAAAGGGGTTTGAGTGATCAATAATCAAAATCTATCTAACCTGATAGAACATTACTTGAAAAAAATATATATATATTTAATGTTATCTGCTTTATATTTCATCTGCAACAACACTGGTCTTTAAGTCTTAAATGCATCAGTCCAGTAGACAAGAAGATAAGTTATACATGCAGCTGAGGTCAAAAGTGAAAAAAAAACACACTTCCATGATGTACTTAAAGTGCTCTATTTTCACACACTAATTATGTACTTTATATTTATATAATGTATTTAGTTACCACTTGAACCCATCTTTCATACACTAGTGCACTACAAGTGGTGACTAAATACATTTTTAAATACAGAGAAAGTATGTTAAAAGCACATTTTAGTTCATATTCATGGTGTCCCGAAATAGCACAGTTGAGTACACTTAGGTGATCTCAAGTTTATCATAAGAAGTACTAAAGAAGCATTTTTAGCATATTAAGTACTAATTAGTGCGTGAAAATAGAGCACTTTAAGTACATTATCTATGGAAGTGTAGTTTATTTCACCTGGGTACACGTCTCGAGTTTCCTCTGATTTCTACTCTTATTCTTCTGTGATGATTATGATATTAATGATGATTGTAACCCATATGTCATAGTCACAACAACACGTTTATGAATTTATGAAGGGACACATGAGTCAGGAACACATAGAAAACAGTGCTAATATTTGGTAGCATGTTTCCCTTGGCTGTTTTAATAATAAATACATTTATTTAAAAACAACAACAACAACATTGTTGTGTCTAAAAACGACGCACGTGTTCCAATCATCATCACAGAAAAATAAGAGGTGTAATCAGTGACATCTCAATACTACCATGATATACAAGAGTTCATTACAAGTGTATGCAAGCTCGTATATGTACACATACAGGATGTTTTATATGTTAACGCTATGAATACGTGAAAATGTAAAGGATATGTTTGGGTTCCTTCAGCAGAGATGTTTTCAGCCGCATCCTTCAGCGTCCCTCTGATGCTTGTAATGTGATATTTCCCTGTTTTTAAGGAGAAATGGTGCTCTGAAATCATCGATCATGAATATCGTAGCATGAAGACAGGAGCAGAAACATGTTTACCTGACTGAAGGCGCCGTTGCCACGGAAACGCGTTAGCATGTGCCGTGCTAGCCAGCTAATTCTGACGAAATCGCTTTGAATGCACGAAATAATCTGGATGGTCTTCATGACGAACACTTCTGAGTAAACGCTAATCGCTTACATTATGTCTCAGTCTCCTTCTTATTTGTTATCTGGCTGTTTGCTTTCTTTGCAGTACACTAGAGAGTGAACTGATTAGACAACTGCGCCCCACATCTCGCGAGATGAAGTTCATTCAAAACTACAGCCATACTTCTCGCGAGATGTTCTGAGCTCATTCTATGAAAAATATTTTGTGTTTTTAATCTATCTAATCTCTGTATTTATTCTTAACGTTTTCGAATGTATTCAAATGTTGATGTATTTCTTACAGATTTACTAAAGTGCTTTAAAAAAGCTGTCTATGTTTTGTTAACGGTTTTTACTTTGTACTTGTTTTTCTTTAGCTACTTAATTTATGCTGTTTTTTTTTATACAATGCTTTTGAATTTAATTTTGAACATGTTCAGTGTGCCTTCTGCCACTAAAAAATAACTAAAAATAAAACTGTCCGGTCACGTGACGCGCGAGGGCGGCTGTGTTCCCATGAAGCACTGCGCGGCTACAACGGACTCGGGTTAGTGCGCTCAGTTTACGCGCCATTTACGAGTGTGTTTTCTGTCGAGGGAAGTAAAGAGCGCAGCTTTACCCTAGTTTTACTCTCTTAACTCGCAGTATACGCGAATCCGGCTGATAAATCGGAGTAATATCGACGAAAGCGAGGGGAATCAGCCGAATCAAAGGTAGACGATGACATTTATGCGGATTGTTTGTGAAGCGTCGGTTCCTCAGATCGCACGCACCCGTTTATTAACGTTAATGAATACGTTCAATAATTAACAGTCACATCAGGCGTTCAGAAACGACGACATGTTTCCATAATGTGAACTAGTTTAAGCCGATTTTATTGAAATGACGGCAGATTCATTCGTTTTGGTAATTATTATCCTGTAGCAACGCTTTTTCTTCGCTGTATGTAACGTACTAATTATGTCTCATTTCATTTAAAGTGAATCGGTTTGTTAATACACGTGTTATTTATTAGGCATCTTCTGGTTTGTGTCCGAGGGCCGTTTACAAACACATCGCTGTCATGTCGCTAATAAAGCTGTGAATATATTCGCGTTATTATTGTACGCAGGCAAAGCAAAGCATCTTGCTGTAACGTTAGTGTTACAAAACTCAGTCCATGTTTGAGGTCACTTGGGTTTGTGCTTGTGTAGTTTCACTAAACCGTTCCAAACGAGCTCGTTCGTAGTGAGTTGCTGCAGTGTTTTAGTTTCGTGATGAAGTTTAGCGCAAACGTGGAAGCTGTCAGCACAAACAGCTGAAGTGTTTCTCACAGTGTTGTCATGTGCGAGCTCTTCATCAGCTCACAAACACCACGTGTGTCTAAAGGTCGCGTCGTGTGCTCGGTTTGTCGTGTTGTAGTTGCCAGCTGTGTGTTTTGCTTTGTGTGAGCGGTGAAACCCCGACGTCAGTTCACAACACACACACACACACACACACACACACAGAGACACTTCACTGTGTTATGATGAGAAGCGACGAAGTTTTCACCACGTATGCAATGATTTGTTGTGATGTTTTTGTTCGCTGTGCGTCGTGTTCGTGAACAAAGACAGACACGAGCTGTGTCCCTCATCAGTGCAGACTAACCCGGGCTAATGTGCTTTCAGCTGCCGTGAATCATGCCTGCGAAAACCAAGAGCTCGACGGCCGCGAAGAGAGCGGCGGAGTCCGACGAGGAGCAGAGCGCCGCCCGCAGACCCCCGAGCGCCGCCGCGGAGCACGGTGAGACCGGTGTAGTGCCGGTGTTCGGGGAAGTGTCTTCAGACTGTCACGGGAGAAGCGCTGGTGTTTGCTTCTCATCCCGACACGGCTCTTTTGTTTAGTGAAGTCCGTTAGCCTGCTGCTAATGGAACTTAATATTCACTCGACTAAACAGCAGGAGTGACCTAACAGTGTTCAGGAGCAGCAGTTCTTCACATCTGCCTGACCCATCACACAAATCTTATTTGACAAACTTTTATATGTCGATAAAGTTTCATTTAACCTGAAGTTTTCTTCATATGTGACTCTGGAGCACAAAAACACTCATTAGGGCCAATTTTTTGAAATTGAGATGTATGCATCATCTGAAAACTGAATAAATAATCTTTCCATTGATGTATGGTTTGTGTCTTTGAATCAGCTGTTTTGTTTTTAGTGGAGTCAAGTTCACACTTTTTGCAGTTCTTCACACAAAATCATATTCCACAATGCAAGTACTTCACATGAAACTCAATGCAGTGTTATTAGTATCAGTAGTATGCTATTACTATACTATTAGTATCATTTACATATTATTATAGTTTTTGTTCATATTTTATTTAGTTTATTTTAGTAAACAAATTAGAAATGTTGGCTTAGCAACTAGCTGAAATAATTGTATAATAATTGTTATTTTTTAAAGTAATGGAAGTGTTTTTTTCTGGCTTTAGTCATCAGCAATAACCCTGTCTCAAACATCAGTTGCACAAATAATGCATTTATAATGAGTTTCAAAGTTAAACATCACATGCAGTGTCATTGAACATGCAGTAGAATTGAATGGTACATTGACACTTTAATTCATCCTCCTCCTGCTGGTGTCTGTTCACACTGAACTAAACTCACTCACAGGTTTGGTGTTTGCAGTAGACAATAAAACGGTGCTGTTTGATTTATATTTGTTAATTGCACCCTCTTGAGGACTGTTGATTTTGCAAATAATGCATTTATAATGAGTTTCAAAGTTAAACATCACAGTGTCATTGAACATGCAGTAGAATTGAATGGTACATTGACACTTTAATTCATCCTCCTCCTGCTGGTGTCTGTTCACACTGAACTAAACTCACTCACAGGTTTGGTGTTTGCAGTAGACAATAAAACGGTGCTGTTTGATTTATATTTGTTAATTGCACCCTCTTGAGGACTGTTGATTTTTAAAATATGGAATAATGATTTTCAATTTATTTATCAATTTAGACCCAATTAGTTCTTTCTTCAACTTTGGGGGGAATATGTTGCATTTCAAACCACGCAGCATGTTCTTCGTTTGAAAATTGTGAGATCTACCTTTACAATCAATGTTACTTGCTTTATTGCAGTGTCATTCAGACATTAAGAGTTATTATGTGTTAAAATACTTGTTGAGAGATGTTGTTTCCACCGTCTGTGATGAGTGTTGTACTGCAGCACCTCTCTTAGCTTCACTGATACTCTGACAGTAGTGTGTGAAAGTGTTCCCTGAAATGAGTTAACACTGTTTTCAAGATTCTGTTTAAACCTTTCTCTCATCAGCGCTTTTCCTGCATCATCGGTCCAAACGGCAGTGGCAAGTCCAACGTGATCGACTCCATGCTGTTCGTGTTTGGATACAGAGCTCAGAAGATTCGCTCGAAGAAGCTGTCGGTTCTGATCCACAGTTCTGACGCTCATCCGGACGTCCAGAGCTGCACTGTGGAGGTGCACTTCCAGAAGATCATCGACAAGGTGAGCCAGGCCTAGTGATGAAGAGCACACATGAACAGATTTCTCTGTCCACAGTAAATTCGGTTTCATTTTAAAGTCAGAAAATTAGAGGCCATAAATATGATTATTTTACTTTTAACTGGCAGTACAAATTATATCTACACTGTCAGCATTATACTTCTTCTTTATACATTTTTCTTTTATTTCTGCATAAATATCACACTTGCAGGGCCTTAAATTTTTAAATTAATTACCGAAATTCCGTTTCCCCACTTTAATTTTTTAAAGCATGATTCTCACCTAAATGATTGCGTGTTCACTGTGTTTGTACAATACATATTTTAAGCAGTTTGATGAAGAGTGCTTTACAAATGCGCTAAAAAATAAAGCTGACCTGATACTTTATGCTTATTAGTTAAGTTTTGTCTGCTAAATCATGTTTATATTATTAGAGAGCAGGGTTGTGCCGATAGATGATAATATCGTGTATCGCGATCTCACAGGCTGATGATATGACAATTGAACATATCGCCCAACACGATCAAGAGAGATCCTTTAGACTGCACAGCTTGGTGATTTGAGGGCATTTTTGTCACACAGTAGTAGGCCTGTCACGATAACAATTATTGAGGTCATGTACATATATTGCGCGATAAGTCGATATATTGATTATTGCGACAGGCCTACACAGTAGCCTACACAACGCAAGAAAGTTTGATTTCAGACTTGCATTGAGTTTGTTCATCTTTGTGGACTAATCTACTCCTTCAGCCTACACATATATAGTGAATAAATACTTGCAGGAAGGAGTAAAATTATGCACAATACCCAAAATGCTGTGCTGAAATTCAGGCCCTGATTTAGTTTTTAGTAGCATACTTGAATTGAGGGACTGCACTGCATATTTGTACTTGACAAAATCTGTTTGTCACATTGGTTGTTCGATGAGTGTTGCAAACCCCTGAAGTCTACCTGTCCCTGTTGTCCTCCTCTGTGTGTTCAGGAAGGAGACGACTACGATGTCATTCCCAACAGCTCTTTCTACGTGTCGAGAACTGCTGCCAAAGATAATTCCTCCTCCTATCACATCAATGGCAGGAAAGCAACCTTCAAAGATGTGGGCACACTGCTGCGCAGCCACGGCATCGACCTGGACCACAACCGCTTCCTCATCCTGCAGGTAATCATGTCACCGTCACCTCTCTTGAAGCGCTGCATGCTTTCATCTCTGCTGTTGGCCTCTCGTGTTTTCTGGAGAGTCGTGAACGGGCTAAACCGGGCTAAATCCACCTTAGACCGCTATAGCAGCGTGTCATGGTTTTCAACATGAGGGAAGGTGCAAACCATCATTTGCTGCTCTAGAGTTTTAAGGGACTCTCAAATGCTAAACCTAACAATTGCACAAGGCCTGTAAACATGGACTGTCCAAAAGGTCAGAGGTCAACATCTGTCCACTCTACCTTCCTCGCTTTAGCAGCACGTAAATATTGGTGTGTTAAAGTCAAGGCCAGCCCCGATATTGTGTGTGCTGCTTCAGTGAGGCAGGAGCCAGCCTCCTTCACTTCCTTCACATCATTCTTCACTGCGAGTACTGCTGTCATCTAGGGCCATGTTTGGACTCTCTTTGCACTGTTAACTCTTGTTCAGTTTATCATTGTAGCTGTTCTGTTCTGTGTGATTGATGTTAGATTGAAAAGTAGTCACACGGCTGTGTGTCTGTACTGTACTGGCTTGGGATGGGTGTCATCACGCGTCTCAACCAATGAGAGCATTGGAGTGGGCCTAAGACTGCTGCAGCGCTCACATGAAGGCTCCTGATAAAATTATTTAAGCTAAGCATCAACATCAACAAACCACTGTTCACTCTTATTTTTAATGCAATGTGGGAACCAGGAAGTTTCCGATAACACGTGAAGACAACAGAGAAGGGCTCTCGCTCAACACAGTGGAGTGCATCGTTTTGTTAACTTTGTGGTTTATTATTTTGAGTCGTTTGGGACGCGGTACCACACGGCCCTCACAATATATTGCTTAACCGTTTTCTCGTTTCTCTACTCGCTGCGTTGGGTCCCGCGATCGTGCAGGTCTCTACTCGGAAGGAGCCTGTTATAATGTTATGATCGAGGCTCTCGACTCTGAGCATAACTTGTTTTTCTATAACAAACTATACAATGTTCTATAAAAACGTTAATGCACTGGCAAATAGCTTTGGTTTTATATTTAATTACGTTAATGTAGAAATAGCCAATTTTAACTGCTACTGTGTGTAAAAAAAAAAGGGAAAAAAAGCACCGTATTAATTTAAAGAGTTTGCAAACCAAATGTTATTGCACTTTTGTTCATATAGCAGTATACTTTTAAATGAAAAAATTGCGCAATACACTACTTTTGAATTTATTGAATTGTGTGCATAATGCGATTAATCACAGAAAAATCATGTGCTTAATCGCAATTGAAAGATTTAATCGTTACCCAGCACTAATGTATACTTGTCATTTGCACTCATATATTGTTGCTCTTTTGTTAGTTTTGACTGCTTTTATTTTCCTCATTTGTAAGTCGCTTTGGATAAGTGTCTGCTAAATGACAATGTAAATATATATATTAGTCTAGCGAGTAATCATGTTTCCAGTAGGGATGGGCATTCCAAGCAAAAATAATATTTGAAAATCGCTGGGTATTATTAGATTATTATTCAAAAATTGCACCCATTTCCCGCATGCACGCACAAACACCCATAAATTAATAATTAATAATCAGCACAAAAACATTCATTGTGCTTAAATATCTGTTGTTGAAAGCTAAATTAAGGTTTAAAGGTCAACATGCATTGTGAGTATTTTATGAGAGTAGGAACTGTAAGGGGATAACAGCGTGTAATTGTCTGAATATAAATATCAGACGCTTCATAACCGCCTTTTACAGGATAAAGAGAAATGACAGGAAGACGTGACTGTGGTCAAAGTGAACATGTGTTCCTGCAGAACATTACTCTTACCTATTGGTTACAACTTAGTTTGTGATTTTATTCGTCTTTATCATCTTTATTATTTAAAATTTTAATTCAGAGTTTTAAACTATATTCACCATATACAATGCTTAATTTGTTAAAAACCTTACATACATTTGTTTAAATAAATTTATGATTTGTGCCACTGCTGCTCTAAACTAACAGTACTGGTGATTACCAAAATCATGTTTTAGCTTTCTGTATGGGTTAGTCCTCCAATATGCGTAAGCTCTTTAGTAACAGTAGTAGGCTGTTTCTAATGCTATAATATAATTATTGCTGTTATCTATGAAAGAAAGGCAGAGAGCTTTATAGTGGGTTTTTTTCAGATACCCAATTACAGTCAAAAAGTACATAAACAATGCCAGCAAGAACGCAAGCTGTTATGAAGGGCATAGGAGGCCTTTTTTGTTGTGTGAATAAATACAATTTAGTTGTTTGTTTATTTGCCCAATAAATGACAATAACATTTTTTTTTTATTTAAACAATTTTTTGACGGATTCCTAAAATGTGTTTTCTCTTTGTTATGGCAGGGGGTCTAATAAATTAAGCACTGTATGTTTTCATAGCATTCAGTTGGAACGTTTGTTTGAAGGACATTGGGCAGAATGTGGAATAGTTTGTTTTTGTAAAAAAAAAACTAAAATCAAAATAATCGTTAGTTGCAGCCCTAGTTTGGAAAAAAAACACCAAGTCTGTCCTGTGTGGAAATTATAAGCAAATAATTAAATTGTTTCGTTTTTAAAAATTTTTTATTAGAACTTATTTGTTAGAATTAAATAAACTATAATGAAGTTCTTTTATAATGACTCCCAGTACATTGAAGCTTTGAAAATAACTATAAATAAACTATATATCAATCGCTGCATTTTTTTTTTTCAGAAAGATGCAGTGGTAACCTTAACATTTTATTTTAAGATTTAACATTTGTAGATGGTCTAACGCAAAAGAGTTGTAAAAATTCTGAAAAGCTCATAATTTGTTTAAAAAATATAACATCTTACACATTCATGAATAAATCAGTATATATAAAATTATTTAATTTAAGTGTCATGTTTGTGTTTTTTATTTTTTTATTCATGTATGCGACAGCTTCTGACCTTTAAATCAAAACATACTCATGATTTTATGACATCAATTACTGCTTTATTTAATCAGAAACAGTCTAAATGTTATTTGTGTATTTTGCTTTCATTTTATTAGAAGTAGGCCAACAGCGCCCCCTACAGATTAAAACTCCTTACCGAAGAAGCGTGAGGACCCACTGCACGTGCTATTACTGTTTACTCTCACACACCGAACGCATTCTGTACTGCTTTCTCAGTTTAAATGCAGTGATCTTATAACAGTGAATGTAATCACCATTCAGGCAAAACTTTGCTTCCAGAATGAGCTGCTGACGTGATCTAATCGCTAGCACACGTGTGTTAACGTATTCATCTTATCAGCAAGACATATCGGCATAATTTTTCATATCGGGCCGATGCCGATATCTACATTTAAACCCATTATCGGCCGATTCCGATATCTGTCCGATAATATCGTGCATCCCTAGTATTTTTGCATTACTCCATGTTTGTTTGCTTTTGCAACAGAATAGCAGATTATTTTGCAGGTGACATGTAGGGACTGTTTAACATCTCACTGCTCAGCCTTGATTAAATCTGTGGAGATGAGAGGTGCATCAGACTCTGTGTGTGTAAGTGCTGTTGTGTCGTGTCATTGTCAGGGCGAGGTGGAGCAGATTGCCATGATGAAGCCCAAAGGACAGACGGAGCACGATGAGGGCATGCTGGAGTACCTGGAGGACATCATCGGCTCCTGTCGTCTCAAAGAGCCCATTAATATCCTGTGCCGGCGGGTGGAGCTACTGAACGAGCAGCGCGGAGAGAAGGTACAACAATACTGACTGAACGTGATCGTATGCAGCAGTATGGGTTTTAAATAGCTTGTAAAAGAGCCGTGCGCGTTTTACTTTCACTTTCAAATTCGCGGCAATTCGGCGGCAATTGCTTGAATTCAATCCAAGCTACTGAACGAGTCTCAGGGGTCATCATGAATTAAATTCAAGCAACAACAAAATACAACGTAGAACATAGAACTTTTATTAACAAAACAAATAAAAATACACCATACTATATGCCTAATATAAAATAACTAATAACTTGCACAAAGTTTAGGTATACAAAACTGAAGATCAGTAAACATTGTGGAACCAATAAATAAGAAACGAATGTTTAAAAAAAAATTCCAATATCACTTTAGATAAATGGCAGAAGTCAACAGGCTTTTCAGAATCCAAAATATTTTTAAAACGGGTGCGTTTGCATGTGTTTTGAAACTCTTGTCTGTCTCGCTTCTCCTCACATGATGAATGAAATCTGATCTGTAATGCTGCATTGAGCAGCCGCGCTCAGTTTTGAATTGTAGTGTCTGTTCTCTAACTGAACTAAATTATTTTTATTACTATAATAATTTATCATTTTTTAATTTATATAAAAATCTCTATAAAAATGTAACTACTACATGTTTCAAGTAACTTTTTCTTTATTTTAACCCTCTAGTTAAAGAAAATCCTGTTCCAAGTGCAGCACACATGAAGTGGTCAACATGTGAACTACATCTTGTACAAACTTGTCTTATACATATTTTTTCTATGCAATCATGGACGCGTTTGACTGTTGCGCTCGCATTTCTTGCATGAAACAGCTTTCTAAAAACACGCCACTCAAGTTAAAAGAACTTCACGCCCATCTTCTTGCATTTTTTCCTTTTCCACTGCCGCGTCGCATCTTTATTAATACAAAAGCACATTCTGTGTGAACTGCACCTCGCACTATATTCTACTTATCTTTAAGAAGAGGAACCTGCTCTGTCAGTTCTACGTGTAAGACACACGCACCCCTGTGAACAACTCTGAGTGACACACAGCTTCAGTTCAGAGCGTACTGCAAACTCAATGATTTCACACTGTGTGCAGTGAATTAGGTCCTCAGTAATGGCGTTGTGGTGTTGCTCCATCAGAGATGTGGAAGGTTTGGTTATTCAGAGTGACGTGTTGAGTTGTTTCTGCAGGCATGATCTACAGAAGCGTGTGTCGGCCAAAGAAGCTGAGAAACAGCAGATTCAGGAGGACACAAAGGAACTGAGTGACAAAAGCAGCCAGCTGACCGAAGAAATGAAGACCAAGAACGAGGAGCTGAAGGGCGTGGAGAAGTGAGACCTTTTCATCCCTCTAAAAGCCTGAATAATGCCTGATGCTTTAGTATTTGGGTGTCGTCTGCTGCTCAGACCGTTGTGTTTTGGCAGCTGTCTTATAGTTGAGGAGTGTTGTGGATGTTGTTTTTCCTCGGAAGGAAACTGACCAAGCTGACCAAGTTCATAGAGAGCCAGAAGGAGAAATTTACCCAGCTGGACCTGCAGGACGTGGAGGTGCGCGAGAAACTCAAACACACCAAGAGCAAAACCAAGAAACAGCAGAAGCAGCTTCAGAAGGACAAGGAGAAGGTGAGGCGTCCCGATCTGGAGAAGATGAGCAGCTCTGTAGCCTCTCGACTGTAGATCTTCATGAGCGCTTGTGTTCTGTGCAGCTGGAGGAGGTGAGGAGCGTTCCCGCGAGCAGTGAGAAGATCATCACGGAGGTGTCTGCTCAGAAGGAGGAGCTGGAGAAGAAGAAACTGGTGGAGGAGCAGAAGCTGGCTCAGGTGATGGAGAGCCTGAAGGAGGAGACCAGCGGCCTGCAGGAAGATAAAGAGGTGAGAGAATGCCTCACAGACACGGCATGAGTATGTGTGACGCCAGCCGATAGCACTCTATCATCTGAAACAAGCTGTCATGATGCAGTTAATACCAAAATGTGCACACTTCTTGATTTGTGCTGGATGCAAGAGGCACGTGAGCCTAAGTTTATTTGTACAGTATAGCACATTTCTACGGTAGCCGAGAAGTGCAAAACAAATCACAATTCTGAAAACAAAATAACAAATTACAAACGCAAATGCAAATCTAAAAAACAAAATAAGTCCGAAAACACAACGACAAATCAGACAAACCGGAAGAGGTAGGTATAGTTTGAGACAGCGCCATTGGTGTGAGAATAGATTACTCACTGCTGATTGGACGAGACATCTGTCAATCAAGGTATGCAGGAAGAACAGCAGAGTAGTGGTAGAAAGTTCAGAGATGGTCTTAAAGTAACACAGTTTAAATGTTTTATTGTGTGAATTGCCCTTACTATGGAGTAAAAAATATGAATGTACATTTACAACACTGTACTCTGTGTTATATTACCTTTGAATCAGAATACAAAAAATTAGTTAACGCTAATACGAGGGCAAACTGAAATGTAATGAATCAAATTTCATCAACACGGAGTTGGAGTTGCGGAGTTATACCAACCCTTAACACTACTCCAGTTTGTTTTTGAAATATAAACATTAAACCGGTGGTTGTATTCAAGCACAATAAATAATGCAGACAACAGGTTTAGTACAAATATAATGAATAAAGTTCATCAACAGAAAACAGCTCAGACTAAAAGATTGATCTTGAGATGTAAGAATCAGTGTTGATAGCGTCACACAGCTGACGTTTACCGGTTATAGTTTATCTATGGAACAGCAATTTTTGGTTTGGTTTGACAATTTATTTTTTATTATTTATTTGGCTAAAATTTTTGGTGCATAACTACTTTAAATTTGTTTAGGCTTTCTGTGTGTAAATAAATTAATCTGTAATTTATATTTTTTTTTTTGTTTTTAGAATTACGTTAAATGTAAACCGTTTGTTGCGGAATAAGAGAACTAAAACATGTTTGTAAACTTTTTTTAAATTTTTTTTCTCCCCACATTTACACTTTTGTATCATATCAGTATGTGTTTGTATACAAGTATTTTCCATTATTTCTGGGTGTAATAAAATGTGAGTTTCTCTCAGCAATGCAGTTTTGAGGTGTGAGTTTGTCTGTATGTTATAGCTCCTCCTCAGTCTTTGCTGCTTGTGTGTGGTGTTCCTGCAGAAGAAAGAGCAGCAGCTGCTGGAGCTGAGTAAGACGGTGAACGAGACGCGCTCACGGATGGATGTGGCTCAGTCAGAGCTGGATATCTACCTGAGTCAGCACAACACGGCTGTGAGCCAGCTCAACCAGGCCAAAGACGCTCTGCAGGAGGCTGTGGACACGCTGAGAGAGAGGAGAGCCGCCATCAAACACCTCAACCTCAGAATACCTCAGTGTGAGGAGCAGCTCAAGAAGGTCTGTGTGAAGACTCCGCAAGATTTCTCATGTCGTTTTTAAAGACGTTTCTTATGCTCATCAAGGCTGCATTTATTTGATCAAAAATACAGGGGGAAAAACTGTAATTTTGTGAAATATTATTGCAATTTAAAATGTTTTCTATTTTAATATACTTTACAATGTCATTTATTTCTGCTGTATTTCCAGCATCATTACTCCAGTCTTCAGTGTCACATGATCTTCAGAAATCAGTATAATATGCTGATTTATTATCAGTGCTGGAAAGAGTTATCGCTGCTTCATATTTTTTGGGATCTGTGATGCTTTTTTTAAGGGTTCTTTTAAACGTCAAAAAGAACAGTGTTTATTCAGAATGGAAAGTTTGTTACAATATACACTACTATTCAAAAGTTTGGGGTCAGTAAATTATTTATTTATTTATTTTTAAGAAATTAGTACTTGTATTCAGCAAAGTGATGAAAGTGATAGAAATCTTTTCTAGCAATACAAGTCTTTACTATTTTGAATAAATACTCTTCTTTTTAACTTTATTCATCAATGAATCAAAGAAAAAAAGTATCACAGGTTCCAAAAAATATTAAGCAGCCAAACAGTTTCAACACTGATATATTGATATTTATAAAACAGAGTTCCGGTGTGGAATAACCGTTTTAACCATAATTTTTTTTGGAATGACTGACATAACGTGCCTAACAATGCCCCTTAGCTGTTATAAATTCACTGTAAACCACAGCTTCACGGGAAGACCCAGAACATCGGTGTGGCCACATTCATCGGCCTAGACAAGGTGAGGAAAGGACATTGCTTGCTGGACCTCATTTCAGCGCTGGAGTCCAGTGCTGATGGTGTTTTGTGTTCAGATGAAAGTGTGGCAGCAGAGCATGGGCTCCATCTCCACTCCGGAGAACATCCCTCGTCTGTTTGACATGGTGCGTGTGAAGGACGAGAGCGTGCGGCCGGCGTTCTACTTTGCTCTCAGGGACACGCTGGTGGCTAGAGACCTGGAGCAGGCCACGCGGGTGGCGTTCCAGAAGGACAAGCGCTGGAGGGTGGTCACGCTGCAGGGGCAGATCATCGAGCAGGCCGGTCCGTTTACTCCCGTCTCTAGAGCACTAGGAAATCATTAGTTTCTACTCAATTCAGCTCCAGTTTTTCTGGGTTATGTTTTAATGGTTAAAATAAATACAAGTAATCAAAAAGAACATCTAATTCAACAATTAAAAAAATTAACAAATTACATTCTAGGGCCCTATGAAATATTTTTTTTTCTCTCAAATTCAGTTTTTCTGGATTATGTTTAATGGTAAGATTAAATATTAGTAATCAAAAGGTCTAATAAATTCATGAATCTTTTTTATCAAAAGTTTAACAAAAATTACAGTTTTAGGGCCCTATGAAATGTTTGTTCCTGTGTTTTCATTTTTTGTGGATCGTTTTAAAGGTCTTATTAATTAATTAAATAAATTAATTCAGTGTTTCCCACAGACTTGCACTCTATCTGTGGTGGCATGTATAGGCAAATTCATTCTCTGCCAGCAGGAGGCGCTGTTGGAGCGAGAGAAATAGAGGTTTCCCTGGTAATGGCTGTACACAAAGCAGTGCTGCGCTCGCAAACGCTGCTTTATCAGACATTACATGAAAGATGAAATGAAAATGACATCGAAAATGTCCTGAAGACAGTCGGTTTCCTTCAGAAATACAGTGATCTAAAAACAACCGCACCGGGTGTCAATTTTGAATTTAAATTTTGACTTCAACGCCTTTTGGGAAATCTATTTGTGCCGGTCAGTTTTGATATTGTAACGGGCGCCACAAATAAATCAATGTATGGGAAACACTGGAATTAACAAGTTTAACAATTTAATAATTTATTAATTTCTTCAATAATGGGGCCTTATAAAATGCTTTATTTCTTCAGCAATTCTGTGTTGTCAGTTTTAATATTTTTGTATTTGGTTTAATACAAATTCATGATCCGAAACGATGTTAATTAAATGAAGGCATAAAATATGAAATTTATTATTTTAAAATGCAATCAAATTAAAACTGTATTATTATAATTGTTTTAACAACATTGAGAAGTACATTTTACTGTACAATTAGTAATATTTCTGTTATAATTTGTTCAAGTTAAACCAAACTTTTATTTTGGCAGGTTGTAGTGAAGAGTTATACGAATTCCATTCCTCTGACTGGATTCTGTCTGTGTTGTGGAATCATGTGGCTCTACATGTGTGCATCTGGATGACAGTAATGAGCTCGCTCTCACGTTCACCCTCAGGTACCATGACTGGAGGAGGAGGACGAGTGATGAAGGGCCGGATGGGCTCCTCGCTCTGCGCTGATGTCACTCAGGAGCAGGTCAGATCACATGATAACTCAGACTTATGTGGCTCTTCTTCAGTGGAGCACAGCAGGACGTGTTTCCAGACGCGGCTCGTACAGTGGCTCTTAAAACTGTATTATGTGCAATTTAATTATTTGTATTGTACTGTTGTTATTGGACTTTATTTTTCAATTTGATCCATTATTTGATTAAATAAACATTTTCAGTTCCAGTTTTCGACACAAAGAAAACTTTAGTTTCGGTTGGTGCATCACTAGCTAAAGATGTGTGATTGTGCGCAGCTGGATAAAATGGAGAGCGAGTTGAACAAAGAGCTGACGCAGCTGCAGGACTGGCAGCAGAGGAAGCATCAGCTGGAGGAGAAGGTGCACAACGCCAGACGTGAGCTGAGAGACATGAAGAATACACTGGAGAAATACACGGCCACCATCCAGGTCAGACAGCACAGCTAAAACATCAGCGTGAACGTGTGAGCCCTGGCTTCTGTTAACCCCTGATGTGTGTTACAGAGCCTGACCGAGCAGGAGCTTCATCTCAAGACTCAGATCAAAGACCTGGAGGCCAATGTCATCTCCGCTGCTCCTGATAAAGCCAAGCAGAAGCAGATGGAGAAGAGCCTGGAGGTCTACAGGAAAGGTGCGTTTGTACATCATTCACTCAGTCCTGTCAGTCCATATCTGCATGACTTTCTTCTGAAAACACAAGGCATTCTGAGGAACATTGGGGTCTACTCAACATTGGACACTATTGTATGGACAAAAAGCATGCTGCTTCACAGTCTCATGTGTTGGCCGGTCGATCTGTTTGTTTTTCATGAAGACTTTGAGGCAGCGTCCACTAAAGCAGGAAAGGTGGAGGCGGAGGTGAAGAGGCTGCACACGCTCATCGTGGACATCAACAGCCATAAGCTGAAGGCCCAGCAGGACAAACTGGACCAGATCAACACACAGCTGGACGAGTGCTCCTCAGCCATCACTAAAGCCCAGGTGGCCATCAAGACTGCTGGACGGTCAGTAATCACTGCCACTGATGTTGATCCTGAGATAATTTATTTTATTTACTTTACAGTTTCACATCTCAAAAGAGGTCTGAGTCACAATTACACCAACTGGATGTAAAAGTATGGTGTAAACCCTTCAGATAAATATGAGACAAATGGAGAGCGCTCTTCTATAAAGAATCTTCTGTGAAGATCTCTTCCATCTATATTTGACCCTCTAACTCTAGCATTCTAATTATATTCTTAAAAAAAAAAGTGTCCCTTTTAGACTTGCACTCTATTCATTTACTGCTTGTTTTCTTAAAAAAAAAAAAACTAACACTAGCTTTTCTAATTTTTTTTTATTCTATTTGTTTTCTTTTTATTTATTATACAATTAACAAAAGCAAAAAAGGCCTCTAACACTAGCTTGCTCTATTCTTTTTCTATTCTGTTTTCTTTTTATTATATAATTAAAAAAAAAAAACCTTGCTGCGTGTACTGTGTTAAGCTAACTGAGACTTGTTATAGCACTTGTGTATCATTGCTCTTTTGTTGGTTTTGATTGCTTCTATTCTCCTCATTTGTAAGTCGCTTTGGATAAAAGCATCTGCTAAATGTTAATGTAATGTAATGTAAAGCAGCACTGCATATTATACTGTATATGCTGCTGCAGGGCTCCAGACTCATTCTTCCCACTTTCTCAGTTGGTTGCACGAGCACATGATTTGGTCGCAATTACATTTTTTTTTCTTTCTGCTACAACATGGGATTAATCAATGCATGCTGATTAACTTTTATCATAGTTTATAGTTATATGGAAGTGAAAGTGGTTAACATTCAACCCGTTCTTTTTCATCAGTAGGCCTAGTATTTGTGATTTGAATTTTGTGAACGGGAGATCCTCTTTTGCTGTGTTATAAGCGCAGGCTTAGGATGCTTTCACTTTCAAATTTGCAATCTTGTCACGTTTTACAAGAAGAGATCATTTTCGCTTACATCTATACACCTTTCGCTTTTTAAGACTAAAACAAAATATGGATTCATTGTTATTCTTAATTAAGAAGCACGACAACAATAAAACCGTAAGATACAATGACAAACTAGCTTACAAAACCTTTATTAACAAAAACGAATAAGATGAGGCATGGCACACACCAGGATGCATCAGGAACTGAGCTCTGCAGAGGGCCAGTCGGTTCGTTTCTGAAGTGAGTGTGGTCTTCTGATGTGTTAGTAATCTGAAGAAGTCCGAGGACAGCGTGTCTCAGCTGGAGAAGGAGATGGGAGAGAATGAGAAGCTGATGGAAGAGCTGACGGAGCAGCTGAAGAAGCTGGAGGAGGCGGCGGGAGAGATCATGCAGACGTACCAGCAGGCTGAGGTGCTTCTGTCTCATCCTCTCTCTCAGACGCTGAACACGTGAAGACGCTCGGTGCTGATGTCTGTGTGTGTGTGTGTGTGTGTGTAGGAAGCTCTGCCGGAGGTTCAGGAGCAGCATCGAGGAGTGCTGCAGCAGATCAAGGCCCTACAGGAGCAGGAGCACGCGCTGCAGAAGGAGTCTCTGAGTGTGCGGCTGAAGGTGGAGCACATCGACACGGCCATCGCTGAGTGCCACAACAAGATCAAACACTGGGAGAGAGAGGTACTGAGCCACAGACACACACACATCTGGAAACAGACTATTGACTGTATATTCCCAAAGATTTAGCTGATGCATTATATGTAATGTTTAGCTAACAATGTATAATCATGTAGCTCACTCATTAAGTTCCCTTAAGATCCTTTTTAGACTTATTTCATAGGAGAGATATTTAAGCAAGCTTTAGTGTCTGTTTTTAACTTCATTGGATTCCATTTCCATGTATCCATTTGTTCTTTTGTGCTGTTTTCTGTGTTCTGTGTGACCGCAGGGTAGGATGGGTGATATGGCAAAATATAAAACTTTTTTTTTTTTTGTCAATAAAAATTTTTTAACAACAACATGAATCAAGTAACTACTTCTTAACCATCTAGTTAAAGAAAGTTCTATTTCAAGTGCAGCACACATGCAGTTTAAATTTAAAACAAATCACAATACCTTTACAGAAAAAATGCATGGGATATGAAGGCACATACTGTACAAATTTCTTAAACGCATCATAGGTTCCAAAATTATAAGAAAAATGCAAAAATAAAACGTCAAGGCTATTCAGATTCAAAATGACAAAGTATAACTCCAGTGGACTACTATTAACTCTAAATGTTTTGTCAAAACGGAAAATAACAGCATCATGCAAACATGAAATATTGTACAGTAGTAGTTCTGCACAGGGTTTTCATTACACTGTTTTCTATGTAAACATGCGTTTAATGGTCGTGTTTGACCATCACGCTCACGTCTCTTGCATGAAATGGCATTCTAAAAATGCTGCGCTCAAGTTAAAAAGTTATTTTTAGAATATAAAATGTGAAAACAATTTAATGGTGGCAAAACATCAAATTTGAATTAATGGATAGAATGTGAAAAAATTCCGAGGCCTAGCCCATGGCTTTGGGTTTGATTCCTGTGCCATGTGCTGCAGGCTCTTCTTCCTGAGCCAGAACAACCTTGATTTGCTCGCCTATGGGGTGGTTTGTGTTATTTGTTTAAATCAGTCGAAGCCCGTACTGGCCCGTGCGCTTCCGTCTTCTCTCTGCGCTCACAGTCCTGTGTGTTTTAGGCCAGCAGGCTGTCGCTGCACCCCATCGATGGAGCTCCAGAAGAAGAGCTGCCTGCACTGAACCCAGAGCAGCTGGAAGACATCGGCAATCCAGACGTCATCAAGAACGAGATCGCTCTGCTGGAGGACCGCTGCTCCAACATGAAGCCCAACCTGGGAGCCATCGCAGAGTTCAAGAAGAAGGTACCAGAGATCCACTCGGTGTGGTCAGCCAATGAATGACGGCGTCAGCCCACTGACTTGTGTGTGTGTGTGTCTGTGTGTGCAGGAGGAGCTGTATCTGCAGCGGGTGGCGGAGCTCGATGACATCACCACACAGAGAGACGCCTTCAAGAGAGGCTGTGAGGACCTGCGCAAGCAGAGGCTGCACGAGTTCATGGCTGGATTCAACATCATCACCAACAAACTGAAGGAGAACTACCAGATGCTCACGCTAGGAGGAGACGCCGAGCTGGAGCTGGTGGACAGTCTGGATCCCTTCTCCGAGGGCATCATGTTCAGGTGTGTGTGTCTGCAGGTCAGCCATCTGTTAATGCTGCAATACCTGCACAGATTTTAACATCTGAACACCTTTTAAAGCACTAGTATGGCCCTATGATTTCCGTGATGTGGAAAATACGGACGGAATCCAGTCATAAAAACAAAATTTACTGTATAACAGAATTTGCAAGTTTTGGATGAATAAATCAAAAGTAGGCCGGCACACTTAAATCAAGACTAGTGTCTGTGAATTTTAAAGTCCCTGTGAAATCAAAATGACTTTTTTTTTTTTTTTTTTTTTTACAAAATACCGTGTTTAACCATTATTGTGCAGCCTTAATTAAAAGTGAAATAAGAGAAACTGGCCCAGCAGAAAATGTTGGTTGCCTGTGGCATCAGTCAGTTATAGTTTAGTGTTAATTATACAAACTTATTTTGACTTCAGTAGTATCAATATGTTAGTCTTAAGGTTATCTGTAATCCAGTGTGCTCTGAAACAGTGACAAAATTCACATTTTGAAGATATAAGCATTCATAGCTTACAGTTCGTCACTTCCGCCAAAATGGATCAACTATTTTTTTTGACGTCACCTTGTAATTCAGCTTCTCATCAAACTTTCTGACCAATCAAATGCTCTCTAGAATCCGAAGCGCCCGCCCCCTGCACTATAAATAGAGCTGAAGCGCCGGCTGAGATCGGTCACTTGTTCACAGTGTAGTATTTTCTGTACGGTGAATGGCACGTAGTGCACTATACAGGGGATAGGTAACGATTCAGACAGTGTAAATATGCAATTTTGTTTACTACACATACTGAAGCACGGTGATTTCATCCTCTGCTGCCTCAATATATGAGTACATGAACACATGAACATGATCTCTAGAACTGTCACTTCATGAGCATTTTGCCATTTCTTTTGAGAAAAAACTATCGTCACATATACAAACAGAAACTTGAAGGACTTCTCAGCAGCCAGTTAAAAAGGTTTGTTTTAACTTGAGTAAACGTGAAAATTTTAAATTTTTTTATTTTAATCAATTAATTAGAGATGCTTGTAATTAAGTTAATGAAACCATTAAAATTGGATCTAGAAAATTAATGGAAAACAAAGAATTTGGTAAAAAATAAAACCGAATTTGAGAAAAAAGCAATTTCGTTTAAACTTTTAATAAATTGCTGTTAAATTGTGTAAGTTTCATGATTTCAATTAATTAGACATGGTTTTTGATTAATAAAATTTAATTTAACCATTAAAACAGAGTCTAGAAAAATTAAAATGGAAAAAATTTAATTTTGGAAAAATAACCCTTTTTTTAATAGGGCCCTACACTAGGCTTGCAAATGTTTATAGAGGAAAAACTATGCCTCCGTCGCGCACTGACTGACTATCACACACTACCAGACTTTCTAAAGTCTTACTCTGTTGAGTGAATGATGTGTATGGTCCCAGTCTAGCCATCCTCGTGACAGCTTGGTGTGTTCTGTGCGTTCCCAGTGTGCGTCCTCCTAAGAAGAGCTGGAAGAAGATCTATAACCTGTCAGGAGGAGAGAAGACGCTCAGCTCGCTGGCGCTGGTGTTTGCGCTGCATCACTTCAAGCCCACGCCGCTCTACTTCATGGATGAGATCGACGCTGCCCTCGACTTCAAGAACGTCTCCATCGTGGCCTGCTACATATACGTACGTACACTTACCTGCCTTGTTTCCTGCGGTTAAGGCTCTTAACACTCACATGATGTGACCAGACATTTTTCTCCATAGTGAACACAAAACTGTTGCTCCGCATTCGATGTCTTCTGAGATGGCCTACCCTTTATTATTCAATACTGAATTAAATATACTAGTGGAAATCTGTCAACAGCCTACAGAACACTTAGGCCTACAAGAGGAACTTTTGCCTTTGCTTTTAACAAAAATACCACCACAAATACAACTAGACTAATATAAATCTCAAATATTAAAGTATTAAAGACAAGTAAACAGTCAGTAATAAAATAGGAACAAAAAAATAATTAGCAATAGCATAAATAAATACAACTGAACCAAATTTCAGGTACAGAAACTGTAATTAAAAGTTTTAAAACACTGCATAGTTTTCTTTTCATAAATAAAATGTAGATTAAAGTTATTAAATATTCAGTCAAGATCAGTGAAATCATATTAAAATGCGAACGAAAGGAATCGTTAAGCAGAATGTAAATGCACGCATCTTATTGAATACCCGGTTCTTGGCTATTTGGAGCCGGTTTTCGATACCCAATCCTACCTATGAAATGTTTTATTGTTTTTCCACCTTATGTTTTATTGTTACCAAATTCTGTTTTAGCATGTTTAATTATTTGAATGCATAAAAACACTTTTCAGTTATTCTTACAATATTTTTTTGGTTATGAAATGAAGGCATAAAACAATAATTTAAATTATATTTTCATTAATGAAAATTAAACTAATTTTATTTTTTGGCAAATAAAGGGGATTTACAATTACAATTAAACCTTTGAAGAAATATGATTATATGTTTTTAAAAAATAAGGTTTTAATAATTTTAGTAGTAGAATTACGTGTATTCTGCTGGACAATAGTAATGTATTTCTGCCACAATGTCTTCAAGTTAAACCGAATTTTGACGGGTTGCCGTGAATACCTTTTACATTTCTGTGTGTATATGATATGAGGATAGTTTACTCAAATGAAACGGTAAAATGCTGATGTAGTGACTCTCAGAGCAGTTCTGGAGATGTTGTTCATGTATTTATGTCCTCATTTAGAGAGACAGCAGATGCTAAAAACACCGCGAGCGTCACACGCTTCAGTATGTGTGTAGTAAACGAAACCGCACGTCTACGCCATTCATTCACACAGAGACACGCAGAAATGCAGGATTCAAAATTAAATAAGTCTTTTTGTGGCTTAATATTTACAAATACTAGTCCATATCGTGATTTGATTGAAGTGTAATCACCTATTTTTGATGAATGCATCCCAACTTTGGTAAATTCCGCAACATTCCGCATTAAGCTGTAAATTCCTTTCTTATAACTGGATTCCGCCCACGTTTTCTGCATCGCGAAAATCAAAGGGCCCTGAAAACGGTATCATACGGTACAGTATATTTATCGACAGTACACCTCTATCAATAATGATAGAAAAAAAGTGTAAACGTAAGTGACGTTGTTAAATTTTAATGTTTTGTTAGTCTAGCCCACGAGACGCGCCGCTGCTGCGTTATTCATTCAAAATAATAGAGAAATATAGTAGCTCAATGTGGAGAAGATCTTGATTAGGTTAAAACCGAAACCAAGCCATTCACACAGAACGCATATTCAGTGCATTTTTTAGACGGACAATTAAGACTGCTGCTCTCACGTCTCACACAAGCAGAGGTGTGAAGAGTAACTAAAAACCATACTTGAGTAAAAGTACAGATACCATACAGTGACAATTACTCCACTACATGTTACAAGTCACCAATTCCAAAACAACTCGAGTAAAAGCCTTAGAGTATCTGATTTTAACAGTACTTAAGTATTTTACTTATACTAAATATAGGCTCAAAGATGCACTAGTCAAAGAGACATGCTAGTTAAAAACCGTAACGTTGTGGAGAAGCTGCGGGAAACAGGCAGAAGCAAGCATCTATGTGCTGGTGTTTCATGGAAAAACTAGAACAAACAATAAGGAAAAAACCAAAGGTAACAAAGAACAGAATGACTGGCAAACAGACAACCATTACATTCAACAACTCACAAGGAACCAAAGAAACACTAGGGCTATATATACACACGGGGTTAGACAAGCTGAACAAGATAAGACACACCTGGGGAGACTAATCAAGGGGAACCAATGAACAAATGGACTACAAACTGACTACAAACACCGCGGGAGACAGGAAGTGACATAAAAGTCCAGGACAAGGCACAGAGAGCATGAAACAAAAAGGTCTCTTCAGTATAATGGATAAATAAAATATTAAGTACAATTCATAAAGACAGTCACTTGCTTCATTCCTGAATGATTCAGCCGTTCGAACGAATCAATTGAATGAATGATTCAGTGATAAAATCAGTGACTTACCACCACCTGCTGGCGGATTTAGTTTCATTTTTAGCGTATAATTTCAGTTATTTGAATCATATTTTTGTTCAATATTTTCTATTTAAAACATTAATCTCCACATGAATGTATGAATTTAATTGCACTCATGCCACCTCTGAGCCTCATTAAACGTCTGAAAATGTACCTACAAGCCACTTTTGTGTTCTTCTGTGCCACCTCTGTAGTACAAATTAATTTATTAATACTAATTTCATATGATTGGTAACTTATTTGTCTTATTCTACTTATTATATTGCAGGGGTTAAAGCAAAAAAAATCTTTTGACTGAATTTTTTTGAAATTTCGTCTCTATTGTGTAAGTGATGATTCCTGTGTCAACTGTGCAGCGTGCAGCTCGCTTATAGACAGACGCGATGTGGTTTAAAGCCATTTGCGCATTTTGAGAGAAAGAGCGCGCGGTGATTCACTCTCGCTGTTTGTGAAATTATGTTTCACAGAAAGTTTTCAAATTACTTTATAAGTTATTTAATGAAGAAATATGAAGGAGTACATCACCTTCAGCATTATAATGATTTCACCCGCGCCGGACAGAGACTGAGACGTGCAGCTGCATGTCGAGCCAAACCTTTTTAGAGACCGCCGATCAATCATCCCAAAGCGATTATCGGCCGATAGTGATCGGTAGCCTATCAGTCGGAGCACCCCTAGTGAACTGCTTTGAACAAGTTCAGGAAAACTATCATCAGTTATACAGAAAATCAATACAATGCTTTTCTGTTTTTGCCCCCTAATTCTAACACATTTGCTGAATTTTCCCACATTATTGCAGGAGCAAACCAAGAACGCTCAGTTCATCATCATCTCCCTGAGGAACAACATGTTTGAGATGGCCGACCGTCTCATCGGCATCTATAAGACACACAACACCACCAAGAACGTGGCCATCAACCCCAAAACCATCGTCCTGCGCCAGATCGAGACGGTGTGAGGAGAGCAGATACTCCAATCACTCGTTTGTTCTGATGGTTTGTCTGTTCATCACTTCTCTAAACCTTTTATACGTCTCATTCGTTCTGCGCTCTTGCTCTTTTATTGTTTTTAAATAAAAATGCCTGTTTTATACTACATAGTAACACATGGAATATTATCATGCTTTTACTGCACTGCAGTCGAATATTTTAAATAAACATTAAATGTGGCGTTTTGAGTTTTGTGATACTTATGTCTAAACTAAAGCACAATCCTGTTCAGCCTCACGTTTGAGTTTACGTGATGAACTGCTGAACAGCCAGAAGAAAGCATCGGTCCAGAACAGTTTATTCATCTTCAGCTCTGAAACTGTTCAATGAAATCAGGAATGAAATGAATCTGAAAGAGCAAAAAGATGCTCAAATTTTAGTGCAAATAGTAAGTGGTTTTAGTAATCATTTGTAGTAGCACAAAGAGTAGAAAAAATTAAACATGAAAAGTTCACTGTATATCGTAGTCATAAATTTATAACGGTGATGATTTTTTTTTTCTTTTTACATTAAACACATTAAATATTACATATATGTAATATAATGTGTACTTCCATTACAGGTTTAGGTCTTAAATTTCATACAAGGTGGTATTAAAAAGTTATACCATGTCTGAATTCACAGTACTCCTAAAAGAGCAGGCAGAAAGTACTTATATGACCTGCTACTTCCAGTGTGATTCTGAAGTGTGCATACTACGGACGAATGTAGTACATCCAGACAGCATTCATACTATATAGAACGTACTCTTTTCATGGTCGCGAAGCAATTATTTATTCAGAAATTACCTACTCAAGAGAGTATGCCATTTCGGACGCAGTCGATGGCTACAGTTGCCTCTGTGGAGCGGTGGGAAGATGGCATCATGGGTAATGTAGTTTATTTGTACTGCAGTTATATACTTACTATTTTTAGTAACAGACTGTTTTATAGACCTCATGGTGTAAAATAAACAAGAACACATTCTTCTGAACTGAAAAACACTGGTTGTCTGAACAGCAGATGTTAAAAGGGTCGAGACATGGGTCCTGATGACGATTACACGAGTGTTTTGTAATCCATGCGCAATTTAATGCAACGTTCACAAAGCAACTTGATAAAAATGATGCCAACTGTATAAAATCAGACTGCGACTGCATCACAAAGCTTCGTAATGCTTTGTCTATAAATAATGGTTTTATATTTACGGATGTTTTCAAAACACTCACGTGCAATACTTTTTCCTTATCCAATGGTGTTAGATGTTATTGACGTTTTTGTGCACAAGACTTTAGCGTATGTACGTGAATGTTACAATAGCACCGGCATGTCAGGCCCCCTGTAAATGATGAGCATTCAGTGTGGATTAAATCTGTATCAAAGATGAGCTGCAGTGTTTGTACATAATTGGCCTCATTCTTGAATGAGCAGAACACGTGTGAATGGTTTGTACAAACAAACCCGTTTGACCCAGAAATGCATTGAGCTGGTGTTTCACAGGCTGAGTATCTGCATCATCTCCAGCACTGAACACTAGTGCAGTGTTTTGAGAAAGCTGAGCAGATGCTGGCAGGTGTTTTCTCCAAAACTGTTGATGTTCTGTAGCAGACAGCAGAAGAACGTCCCCATCTCATGGAGCGGCTGGGTGAGTTCACTTGAAATGTTTTCCAGTGCATGAAAGCGAGCAGAAAACCCCCGAGCGCTTCCACACACTGAATGTAAACAGTGCTGTGAGGACCAGCATGAGCAGCAGCAGCACCACGACTGCTGGAGGTGAAGGAAGACGCCGGAGCCGAGCTCCATCAGCGGCCTGAGCGCCGGCCGTCGAGCAGCTGAGCGTATGGCATGAGATTTAACAGGAGCGTTTCTCAGACCTCTGATGGTCATATCACACCAGTGCAAATTTTCTTCATGCCTGGTTGACCCTGCACCAACATTCGTTTTGAAACACTGAACCTCTGTCATTTCTGCTTCAATTTCATATCTTGTAAACATGTCTCTTAACTCTGCCACTGTTCCAGTTTCACTCAAAACTGCTGCTGTTAGTCCTATTCTTAAAATGCCAAATCTGGGCCCAACTGGCTACGCTAATTATCGCCCAATCTCCAACCTACCGTTTGTTGCAAAAATCATGGAAAAGGTCGCCACTCAACTGCAGTCATTTCTGGCTCTCAACAATCATTTTGATATATTTTAGTCAGGTTTTTGCTCACAACAGTACTGAAACTGCTCTAGTAAGGGTGATAAACGAACTCCTCCTTTCTGGTGACCCAGGCAGTCTTTCCATACTTGTATTACTCGATCTCAGCTCAGCTTTTGATACTGATTCATAAGCTATTACTCATGTGCCTCAGAGATTGGCATCTCAGGAGTTGCGTTATTCTAGTTTTCCTCCTATTTGACAGACAATACTACATCACCATGCATCACTATAAATCTCCCTCTGTCCCTCTCAGACAGGGTGTGCCACAGGGCTCAGTTCTAGGGCCACTATTTATTTTTTACATTATGCCCCTCTGACAAATTATTTGCTGCCATGGTTTTCAGTACCACTGCTATGTCAACGATATTTAGATATACACTGCTTGCCGACCTGATTCTGTTCACCAGACTGCATCTCTATTGTCATGTGTCAACGAGTTAAAGACCTGGCTTAACTCCGATTACCTCAGTTTAAACTTGACAAAAACAGAAATCTTACTTGTCGGTCCCCCAACTGCAACAAAAAACATAACTAATGCTAGATTTGACTTTGAAGCTAAATTATGGAAGAAACAAATTTTAGTGCAAATAGTAAGTGGTTTTAGTAATCATTTGTAGTAGCACAAAGAGTAGAAAAAATTAAACATGAAAAGTTCACTGTATATCGTAGTCATAAATTTATAACGGTGATGATTTTTTTTTTCTTTTTACATTAAACACATTAAATATTACATATATGTAATATAATGTGTACTTCCATTACAGGTTTAGGTCTTAAATTTCATACAAGGTGGTATTAAAAAGTAATACCATGTCTGAATTCACAGTACTCCTAAAAGAGCAGGCAGAAAGTACTTATATGACCTGCTACTTCCAGTGTGATTCTGAAGTGTGCATACTACGGACGAATGTAGTACATCCAGACAGCATTCATACTATATAGAACGTACTCTTTTCATGGTCGCGAAGCAATTATTTATTCAGAAATTACCTACTCAAGAGAGTATGCCATTTCGGACGCAGTCGATGGCTACAGTTGCCTCTGTGGAGCGGTGGGAAGATGGCATCATGGGTAATGTAGTTTATTTGTACTGCAGTTATATACTTACTATTTTTAGTAACAGACTGTTTTATAGACCTCATGGTGTAAAATAAACAAGAACACATTCTTCTGAACTGAAAAACACTGGTTGTCTGAACAGCAGATGTTAAAAGGGTCGAGACATGGGTCCTGATGACGATTACACGAGTGTTTTGTAATCCATGCGCAATTTAATGCAACGTTCACAAAGCAACTTGATAAAAATGATGCCAACTGTATAAAATCAGACTGCGACTGCATCACAAAGCTTCGTAATGCTTTGTCTATAAATAATGGTTTTATATTTACGGATGTTTTCAAAACACTCACGTGCAATACTTTTTCCTTATCCAATGGTGTTAGATGTTATTGACGTTTTTGTGCACAAGACTTTAGCGTATGTACGTGAATGTTACAATAGCACCGGCATGTCAGGCCCCCTGTAAATGATGAGCATTCAGTGTGGATTAAATCTGTATCAAAGATGAGCTGCAGTGTTTGTACATAATTGGCCTCATTCTTGAATGAGCAGAACACGTGTGAATGGTTTGTACAAACAAACCCGTTTGACCCAGAAATGCATTGAGCTGGTGTTTCACAGGCTGAGTATCTGCATCATCTCCAGCACTGAACACTAGTGCAGTGTTTTGAGAAAGCTGAGCAGATGCTGGCAGGTGTTTTCTCCAAAACTGTTGATGTTCTGTAGCAGACAGCAGAAGAACGTCCCCATCTCATGGAGCGGCTGGGTGAGTTCACTTGAAATGTTTTCCAGTGCATGAAAGCGAGCAGAAAACCCCCGAGCGCTTCCACACACTGAATGTAAACAGTGCTGTGAGGACCAGCATGAGCAGCAGCAGCACCACGACTGCTGGAGGTGAAGGAAGACGCCGGAGCCGAGCTCCATCAGCGGCCTGAGCGCCGGCCGTCGAGCAGCTGAGCGTATGGCATGAGATTTAACAGGAGCGTTTCTCAGACCTCTGATGGTCATATCACACCAGTGCAAATTTTCTTCATGCCTGGTTGACCCTGCACCAACATTAGTTTTGAAACACTGAACCTCTGTCATTTCTGCTTCAATTTCATATCTTGTAAACATGTCTCTTAACTCTGCCACTGTTCCAGTTTCACTCAAAACTGCTGCTGTTAGTCCTATTCTTAAAATGCCAAATCTGGGCCCAACTGGCTACGCTAATTATCGCCCAATCTCCAACCTACCGTTTGTTGCAAAAATCATGGAAAAGGTCGCCACTCAACTGCAGTCATTTCTGGCTCTCAACAATCATTTTGATATATTTTAGTCAGGTTTTTGCTCACAACAGTACTGAAACTGCTCTAGTAAGGGTGATAAACGAACTCCTCCTTTCTGGTGACCCAGGCAGTCTTTCCATACTTGTATTACTCGATCTCAGCTCAGCTTTTGATACTGAGATTCATAAGCTATTACTCATGTGCCTCAGAGATTGGCATCTCAGGAGTTGCGTTATTCTAGTTTTCCTCCTATTTGACAGACAATACTACATCACCATGCATCACTATAAATCTCCCTCTGTCCCTCTCAGACAGGGTGTGCCACAGGGCTCAGTTCTAGGGCCACTATTTATTTTTTACATTATGCCCCTCTGACAAATTATTCGCTGCCATGGTTTTCAGTACCACTGCTATGTCAACGATATTTAGATATACACTGCTTGCCGACTTGATACTGATTCATAAGCTATTACTCATGTGCCTCTCTCAGAGATTGGCATCTCAGGAGTTGCATTATTCTAGTTTTCCTCCTATTTGACAGACAATACTACATCACCATGCATCACTATAAATCTCCCACTGTCCCTCTCAGACAGGGTGTGCCACAGGGCTCAGTTCTAGGGCCACTATTTATTTTTTACATT